TCAGATTATTTTAAAAGAATGTTTAAAGAAGGTCAGAAGTCACTAGTGCCCTCTAACCTCCCTCTCTAAACTTCCTGTTAGCTGCTCCTATTCGCAAGCTCCCTGTTTGCTGACTCTCAGGCTTATAAAGCCCTGGTAGCCACTCCCCCTGACTGAGGCTCAGCCAATTAACTGACTTCTAGATTTCAAACCTTTTAGAAGCTCCTTCAAACAAACAAACCAAACAGACAAACACAAGCTCAGCACACAGCAAATAACCCCTCCCCGCCCACACACACACAGACACACACTACAGACAGCCACTTACCACAAGGGTCCCGTATTTACTCCTCTTTTACCTGGAGAACTCCCTCTCCAAACTCCCTGTTAGCTGCTCCTGTTCGCAATAAGCCTCTCCACTGCCTTCAGTTGGTTTTGGACCTTGAGTGGCAAGAAGGGAATGAGAGAGACAAGTGGGATCTTGGAGGGGACCTAGAGTGAATGGAGCCAATTTGGGGCAAGTTTCTGGGAGATCTTGTGAGCAGAGGGATACCAGGGGAGAGTTTAAGCAACAAACAGAAGAGGGAGAGGTGGAAGTCTTATATGAGTTGTGTGAGGGATAACTGGGCCTTTCTGGGGATGAAAGTGAAGAAAATTATGGATTTGACAGAGGAAAGGAGAGATGCATATAGGGCACAAGTTAAACAGCATCAACCAGTTCAGTGACAGAGGTGTGAAAGCAACCAGCACTGAAGGTGTTTAGCAAATGGTGGTTGAAGAAATCTGGGTGCTAGTGAAAGTGACAGAGATTAAAAGGGATGGTCTTGTCTCCTGAATGGCAAGAATGATCTTGCTGCAATATTCTGAATTTCTTGACATTTAGAAGCTACATAAAGGACAGAATAGTGGGAGTTAACTGAGTGATTAAAGGATGAAATGGGGAGTTCAGTAGTGGCAGTTTCAAAATACAGTCCAATTCAGCCAATATTCTGGAGGTTAATGTACAGATAAAGGAAATGTGAGAATGGAAGATAATTCAGGGTTGAGGCTGATCCCCCCGCCCCATTTCTGACCTTGGAAGTAAAATTAAGGGAAGTAATCAGAGACCTGGGGGGAGAATGGAATGTATCAGTAGGAAGACTTAGCTCCTAGAAGCTTAGAGAAGTAGGAAGTTATGAGAAAGCGAGGAACTGACTGTCAGGTGCTATGCAAACATGAAATGTCATACAGCTCTGGTCTATGGTGACTTTTTCCGTGGTCCACGGGAACATTGTCCAAAGTCACACAGTGTGGGCAGGCACCAAAAATCTGTTAGTAAGAAATAAATTTCAAACCAAAATATTTGTTGTCTGCTCTTTTTTATCATGTCTCAAAAAGGAGGTGGTCCATAAAAATTTTTTGATTGGCCTGATGGTCCGTGGACTGAAACGAGTTGAGAACCACTGGTCTGGAGGAAGTGAGCTTGTCAGGTAGTAGGGTATAAATATATATGTCATTTGTGTAACCACGATATCCAGGGTTGAAACAATGAGATGATCTAGGATGAAATGATGGAGAAGAGGACCACAGTAAGAGCCTCTGGGAATAATTTCCTGAGAACAAGTAGGAACTGAAGAGAGGGATGTGAAATTGTCTGGCTAATGATGGCTTGCTCGTACATCCCATTCCTGGAGGTAGATGGTTTCAGCTTTACAAAACTCTTTGAAAACCAGTCAGAAAGCTGGTTTTGTAGAGGCAAATTAGGAGAAGTCCCCTTTTTCGTTATTATGGGGGGGAAGTGAACTTTCCATGTATGGCAGTGGCTAATGAGCTCCAGCTTCTAGATTTGGGCAGAAAGTCTTGACCTTACAGAGGTGATCTTCTTAGCAATGTAAGCAGATGATGTGTGAGAGTCCATGACAAAGACTGCGTTGGTTAAGAACTGCTAAAATATAAAATAGATGAGTCCTGATGAGGAGTTTGTTAGCAAATGAGGCATAGAGGAGATGGGAGAAGGTTTTGGTTCTCAGAATAGTTTCAACAGAGTTTCATTTATTGCCTTTGAGCCATATTGATCACAGATGACAAATCCGTGCCTGGAATTGAAACTTCCTTATTCTGCAATCTATAAATATGCCCCTCATGCAAATAAAAAACCTAAGTGGTCTGAGGACACTGTTCAAGATAAGTGAGAATCTCATTAGAAATTTCTTCAGAAGTCAGTGTTGAAATTACCCTGAATGAACCTGGTTGGTAGAAGCTGTTCTGTTAAGGTAGACATGCTTCCCTGACTGTTTGTAAAATGGAAAAAATGCAATTAGTGACTTTTATTATTTTTGCTGCTGCTGAGGTAAAGTACAAATAATGTGTGTGCCTTGATACAAAGCCCTTCCGTTTTAATATAGATTCCCACTGACTTATTTGGGCTTTGTATCAAGGCATACGTACAATAAGGCCCATTGTTAGGGCAAGATGAAATACCTCATCAACAAAATCTCATCATCCAAAATCTTGAATTGTAGTATTTGATTTACAATTAAGTTCAGGTGCTATGCAAACATGAAATGTCATACAGCTCTGATCCAACAGAATTTGCAGCCCATTTCTGCTATTCTAAAAAAATTATTCTATTATTCTGCTAATCATAATGGGTAACAAATGGAAATGCTTTTTTTATTCATGTTTGAAAGTGTGTCTAATTTAGAAACATTTCTATCATTCTGTCCGTTGTTGTATTTTGGGCTTATGCCATGCAACTACCAGTAATGTTTCTTTAAAAAAAAAAAATTGTCAAGCTTTTCTGAAATCCCACTTTGGGTCTAGATGTAAGGAGTAGCAAACTTACTTAGAATTTTTTTAGGTTGAAATACGAGTGTGAATGGTTGCTAGAAAGAAGTGAGTTTGGAATAGGAAACGAGGGGAAAAGAGGCTTTATGGTAACCAAAAATCAAAAGATACTCAGATTAATGCTGTTTTAACTTTACCTATGTAACAGGAAAAAAGTTCAAAATTTTTAAAATGTTTCTTTAAATATAGGAGCCAACAGCTAAATCTTGCAGCCCCACCGAAAATCAGGTAGGTCACGTGCTAATTTTGCTGACTCTTCACAACAAATGTTCTGTTACTTTCTGTGAGTAAATTCCTGAACTTGTCTGAACTGTTCCAGTATGAAATCTTACCTCTTTAGCAGGAAACCAAGAGAGTAGTGGCTTTTTGTGTTTTGTTTGCCTTTTGAAAATAGACTTTCGTTTTCTTGAGCAACAAAAGTTTGAATGCACACAATGTTTAGCAATTAGGCCAAAATGTGCATCTTTCAAGCATTTAGTGAATAATGGAATATACATGTTTGAAGTTTATTAGCATGTATGTATATTGAATCAGCAAAATGCTTTCTTTTTGAAAATCTGACCTGGAGCCCATTGAAGTCAATAAAAAAAATTCCAGTTGACATTAATATGCTTTGGATTACTCTATATGATGATATTTACAAAAAAAATCAGGAAGTGAGGGAGCAAATTTATGTTAGCCTTTTTTAAAGCCTGGGCCAGTAAAAATCTGTTTTGGTTATGATGACCATTACAATCCTTTTAAAGAGTCTGTAACCTTAATATGATGGGAAAACCTTGCTTATCTGAAGCTTTGAGGGGGCTTAGTGTTGATTTTGAAAGAGCTGGAAAAAAAATTCTAAAGAATGAAAAGCTAATAAGGGACTCTAAAGTAGTAATGGTTCTGATTTGTCACAGGCTTTTGGAAGTGTGTCGTGCAATATCTCCATCTCCATCTCCATTTCTACCAATTAAAGAATTTAGAATACAAAAAATGAGTGTCACTTGCTGGACCTCTAGTTCTGGTTATATTTCAGATTGTGCATGTATGCAGAGTTCACTTTTTTTGTTGTGTACTTTTGGGAAACAACTGTTGCTTCCTTGAGATCCTTTCATTAGATACGTTTATTTCAAATTGATGGCATTCATTTGATTTAGTACTCTTTTGCTGGCCTCAGTGCAGCACTCTGCTTTAATAATTTTTAAACAGACTGGATGATATCCATTGTATTATCTCTTTACAATTTTGTATTCAGATCACATTGCATAGTAATTATTAGAATATTTTAACATAAATTTTTACATAAAATATTGTATGAATCTATGTGCAGGTCCTCGTTTCATTGTACGCAATGGAAAATATTACTTCACATCTGATGTTTGATTCCCAAATGATAATTCCTAACGATTAAGAAAATTCATAGCAGGCATTTTTGTTGCTCTAATGGCCTACTGTACTCACTGTTCACTTGCTAAAGTGCATCCTGCTATTAGTGGTGTGAGTGTAGGGGATGTAATTGAATATAATTTAGTGAAATCATGTAGCTATCCTAAAATGTGTTCCAGTTACTTTGAACTATAAAAACGGATGGATGTATCAGCTTCTGTTTTCATTAGATTCCAGAGCTCTCTTTTCATACCTGATATGCGTCGCTATATGCATCATTATAGGAACTGTCTGTATTTATGTGAGGTAATAGAATTTTATTGTAAGTTATTATTCAAATTGTATTTTAATTGGAGCCAAACTGTAGATGAAATATTGTCATATTATACTTCTAGGAGCAATAGGAGGGTCTGTTCTTATTTTGCTTCCCAAAAGTGTTTTTGATTTTAAATGGTGATTGAAGGTGAACAAAAGTTTAATATCTGTGCTAGAATAATATTTTATGTTCTGTTTTAACCCTTGGCTTAATGGTCACATATTTGTTATACTTTACTAAATAGGTTTACAGTATTGTTTGAGTCAATAAATGTGCAGTCCATTTTATATTATTTTATTTCATTTTCTTTTTATCTTCAGAGTCTCTTGCAATATTTTTCATTTGTAAAATTTCTTGGAAAAGGAGGAGTTAAAATGCATTATTTTAAGAAATACTTATTCTCTAGTTTAGTGTATGTCCATAGTTAGCCTTAGTCTGTGGAGAAGAAAAAAGTAATTTTTAAGATACTTGGCGAAATGTTTGAAACCTCTTTATTTTGTTTTTAATCCATCAGAGAAAAGGTGGAGCACCACCTCCTATGAAGTTGCCACCGCCTTATAAAGCACCCAAAAAACTCCACTCAGAGGAGGATGCTGTTGAGGAGGAGGATTTTTATACAGAGGGTAAGTAGTACCATGTTTCTTTGAGAAGTGTATTGTATTTTTATGGAATAGAATCTGTGTGATCATGCTACACAATAGTTGCAAGTTCTGTTTATGGATTAATTTCCATCAGAGTGAGTAGTACTTTATATGAAGCCGAAGGTGGAAGCTCCTGCCCTTCCAACCGGAATCCTAGAGTTTCCCTCAGAATGCTTGTTTCATTTTTAGCTTAGTTGGTCAAAAAGCAATGAGCAAGATCTAAGCTGACCTACATTTTGCAGGAGGATATTGCTTCATGAAGGCAAATAAGATGTGTCACCACTGTGGTGACTGCAGCTGCTGTGCTGACTAGCTTGAAAACCACCAGTACAGTCCCATAGAGCTGGAAGAGACCTTAGAAGGCCATCAAGTCCAGCCCCCTGCACAAGGCAAGACCAATCCCAATTAAATCAATCCAGCCAGGGCTTTGTCAAGCTGAGACTTAAACACCTCTAGTGATGGAGACTCCACTACTTCCCTAGGTAATCCATTACAGTGCTTCACCACCCTCCTAGTGAAATAGTTTTTCCTAATATCCAACCTGGACCTCTCCCACCACAACTTCAGACCATTGTTCCTTGTTCTGCCATCCATCTTTACTGAGAACAGCCTTTTTCCAGCCTCTTTGGAACCTCCCTTCAGGAAGTTGAAGGCTGCTATCAAATCCCCCCTCACTCTTCTCTTCTGCAGACTAAATAGACCCAACTCCCTCAGCCTCTCCTTGTAGGTCATATGCTCCAACCCCCTAATCATTTTGGTTGCCCTCCTTTGGACCCCCTCCAATGTGTCCACACAACTGGACACAGTACTCGAGATGTGGTCTTACCAGAGCCGAGTAAAGAGGAATAATCACATCTCTGGATCGACTGGCAGTGCTCCTCTTAATGCAACCTAATATGCCATTAGCCTTCTTGGCTACAAGGGTACACTGTTGACTCATATCCAGCTTCTCATCCACTGTAACCCCCAGGTCCTTTTCTACAGAACTGCTACTCAGCCAGTCGGTCCCCAGCCTGTAACAATGCTTGGGATTCTTCTGTCCCAAGTGCAGGACTCTACACTTGTCCTTGTTGAACCTCCATCAGATTTCTTGTGGCCCAATCCTCCAATTTGTCTAAGTCACTCTGGACCCTATCGCTGCCCTCCAGTGTATCTACCTCTCCCCCTAGCTTAGTGTCATCCGCAAACTTGCTGAGGGTGCAATCCATCCCCTCATCCAGGTCATTAATAAAGATATTGAACAAAACCGGTCCCAGAACCGAACTTTGGGGCACTCTGCTAGAAACCGACCGCCATCCCGACCCATGGGGCCATTGATCACTACCCGCTGGGCCAGACCTTCCAGCCAGCTTTCTATCCATCTTACCGTCCATTTATCCAATCCGCATTCCCTTAACTTGCTGGCAAGAAAATTGTGGGAGACCCTATCAAAAGCCTTGCTAAAGTCAAGGTATATCACATCCACTGACTTCCCCATATCCACAGAGCCAGTTACCTCATCATAGAAGCTAATCAGATTGGTCAGGCACGACTTGCCCTTCATCAATCCATGCTGACTATTGTTGATCACCTTCCCCTCTTCCAAGTGCTTTAAAATGGATTCCTTGAGGATTCTTTCCATGATTTTTCCAGGGACTGAGGTAAGACTGACCGGCCTATAGTTCCCTGGATCGTCCTTCTTCCCTTTCTTAAAGATCTGCACTACATTAGCCTTTTTTCCAATCACCTGGGATCTCTCCTGAGCTCCATGACTTTTCAAAGATAATGGCCAAAGGCTCCTGAATGACATTTGCCAACTCCCTCAGTCCCCTCGGATGTATTAAGTCCGGAACCACGGATTTATGTACTTCTAGTTTTTCTAAATAGTTCCTAACCTGTTCTTTCCCCACCAAGGGCTGTCCACCTTCGTCCCATATTGTGTCACTTAGCGCATTAGTCTGGGAGCTGACCTTGTCGGTGAAGACAGAGGCAAAGAAAGCATTGAGTACTTCAGCTTTCCCCACATCATCTGTCATTAGGTTACCGCCCTCATCTAGTAGGGCCCTACACCTGCTCTGATCACCTTCTTCTTGCTAACATGCCTGTAGAAACCTTTCTTGTTATCCTTCACATCCCTTGCGAGTCGCAATTCCAATTGCTCTTTAGCCTTCCTGATAACTCCCGTGCATTCTTGAGGTATACATTTATATCCCTCCCTAGTCATCTGTCCAAGTTTCCACTTTTTGTACGCTCCCTTTTTGTGCTTAAGTTCACCAGAGATTTCCCCGGTAAGCAAATCCGGTCTCCTATCATATTTGCTTCTCTTGCTATGCATTGGAATGGTTTCTTTCTGTGCCTTCAATAAGGCTTCTTTAAAATACTGCCAGCTATCCTGGGCTCCTTTCCCCTTCATGTTAGCATCCCAGGAGATTCTGCTCATCAGGTCTCTGAGGGAGTTAAAGTCTGCTTTTCTGAAGTCCAAGGTGTGTATTTTACTACTCTCTTTTCTTCCTTTGGTCAGGATCCTGATATCTACCATCTCATGATCACTGCTTCCCAGGTTGTCACCCACCTCTACTTTTCCTATTAGCTCCTCCCTGTTTGTGAGCATCAGGTCAAGCTGCGCACAGCCTGTGGTCAGATCCTGCAGCACTCGTACCAAGAAGTTATCTCCAACATTCTCCAAAAACTTCCTGGATTGTCTGTGTATTGCCGTATTGGTCTCCCAATAGATGTCAGGGTGATTAAAGTCCCTCATGAAAACCAGGACCTGCAATCTGGAACTTCTCTCAGTTGTCCGAATAAAGCCTCATCTATCTCATCCATTTGATTCGGCGTCCTGTAGCAGACACCAACCACATCATCACTGCTGTTGCTTACACCTCTAAACCTGACCCATAGACTCTCAACAGGCTTTTCTCCCTCTATATACTGGAGTTCTGAGCAATCATAGTGCTCTCTTACATACAGTGGAACTCCTCCTTTTCTCCTCTGCCTGTTCTTCCTGAACAGTTTATACTCTTCCGTCTGTCCCAGGGAAGATAATGGAGCAGGTAATTAAGGAAATCATATGCAAACACTTGGAAGGTAATAAAGTGATAGGGAATAGCCAGCATGGGTTTGTGAAGAACAAGTCATGCCAAACTAATCTGATAGCTTTCTTTGATAAGATAACGAGCCTTGTGGATAAGGGAGAAGCGGTGGATGTCATATACCTAGACTTTAGTAAGGCATTTGATACAGTCTCGCATGATATTCTTATTGATAAACTAGGCAAATATAACTTAGATAGGGCCACAATAAGATGGGTGCATAATTGGCTGGATAACCGTAGTCAGAGAGTGGTTGTTAACGGTGCTAAATCCTGCTGGAAAGGGATAACAAGTGGAGTTCCTCAAGGGTCTGTTTTGGGACCCATACTGTTCAATATCTTCATCAATGATGTAGATATTGGGATAGAGAGTACGCTTATTAAGTTTGCAGATGATACCAAACTGGGTGGGGTTGCAACTTCTTTGGAGGAGAGGGACATAATTCAAAATGACCTTAGCAAGTTAGAGAAATGGTCAGAGGTAAACAGGATGAGGTTTAATAAAGAGAAATGCAAAGTGCTCCACTTAGGAAGGAACAATCAGTTCCATACATACAAGATGGGAAGCGACTGTCTAGGAAGGAGCATGGCGGAAAGAGATCTAGGGGTCATAGTGGACCACAAGTTGAATATGAGTCAACAGTGTGATGCTGTTGCAAAAAAAGCAAATATGATTCTAGGTTGTATCAACAGGTGTGTTGTAAGCAAAACTCGTGAAGTCATTCTGCCGCTCTACTCTGCACTAGTTAGGCCTCAGCTGGAGTACTGTGTCCAGTTCTGGGCGCCACATTTCAAGAAAGATGTGGAGAAATTGGAAAGGGTACAGAGAAGAGCAACAAGAATGATTAAAGGTCTAGAGAACATGACCTATGAAGCCAGGCTTCATGAACTGGGCTTGTTTAGTTTGGAAAAAAGAAGATTAAGGGGGGACATGATAGCGGTTTTCAAATATCTAAAAGGGTGTCACAAGGAGGAAGGAGAAAATTTGTTCCTCTTGGTTTCTGAGGACAGGACAAGGAGTAATGGGCTTAAAGTGCAGCAGGGGAGGTTTAGATTGGACATTAGGAAAAAATTCCTAACTGTCAGGGTGGTCAAATATTGGAATAAATTGCCAAGGGAGGTGGTGGAATCTCCCTCTCTGGAGATATTTAAGAACAGGTTAGATAGACATCTGTCAGGGATGGTGTAGACAGAGCTTGATCCTGCCTTGAGGGCGGGGGGCTGGACTCGATGACCTCTCGAGGTCCCTTCCAGTCCTATTATTCTATGATTCTATGATTAAATTAACTGCTTGCTTACACTGATTATTCAGTTTGTGTAGGGGAGTTGAGGTGTTGGCCTAAATTGCCCTGTAGGCAGGATCTTATTGTGTTAATGGTTTCATGAAAGGACTTCTGATAAGTAACAATATTTTTCTGCTGTTTTTTTCTCTGAAGAAATTGATCATTTTTATAGCTAGCTGGAATGCAATAAAGCTCCCTCAGCTGCTGTTTAGCGATACTCAAAGATCAAAAACAAAACAGGCAAAGCAAACAGCTAATTTCATTAGTTTATTATGTGTAATTACTAAACTTAGAAAAGTTTAAAACATCCCTTTGGTACAAACAGAAGTTAATTCTGTCATATTAGTAATTAATATTTTAAAAAAGAACTAGGGGGCAGACCCCCCTGCCCACTATGCTCACCAACCCCCTTCTCTCTGCCGGTAGGCAACCCTGGCTCTCTCCCCGCTTCCCAGACTGCAGGGGGGTGGGGAGGAAGAGGAGGAGCCTGGAGCTCCATGACCCATAGCTCACCCCCTCCTTCCATCCCTACCCCCACCTCCATCCTCCATTCCTACACCCCCATCTCCCTGCCTCCATTCCTACACCCACCCATCCTTCCTAACCCCTCCTCCTCCCCACACTGCCTA